GTCCTAGAGCTTCCTGTAGTAGACCTGAACAGTCTGTGACCTGAGTTCTGGCCACGGTAGTAGAGTGGAACAGGAAACAGCCAGCAGAGGCACAAGAATAAAGGAGACCAGGACCCTCCTTGTTTTAGAAAGGGAACCAAGCTTATATAATTTTGACTGATAATACAATCAGATTTTTCAGGGTTAAGCTTCCTTTGTTCTGCTTTGATTATTGTGATGCTATGGTAGAAAGTAAACAACAGTAATGGCTCGGTTATATTATCTTTCCTTTCTGCAACACAATTTATTTGAAATTTAAGTCAAGAGAAAAGTACTCACTCAGAGCTAGGTTGAAGGCGTGACACAGTAGGGATCAATAGGGAGCTTGATTCTGAGCCCCAGGTGCCCAGCTAGAGTCCTGAGTCTCTTCCATGGCTGTACCTCAGAGGTGATTTCCCTGTCTTCCTGGGGACCTTAGCACATCTGTTTCCCCGGCACGATGACTTTCTACCAGCACTCTCCTCAGCACTTGGTTTGGGAGCTGAAAATGTCTTTTAAACTGTAACAAACATCTCAACCTGTTGCATCTCACTCCCCTCCATCACTGTGGTTTTTTAAAATCATGTAATTTTGACAAGTTAAAAAAATACCCTTCAGTCTATCTAGATTTTGCCCCTGCCCCCCAAAAGTGCAATTTCCTCCTTTTTAAAACCTAATTCTTCCCTAACACTCTACCTTCATCTGTAATGTTTTGTATACTTCAAGCTGTGTTAAGTGGACAGAAATTCATGGGCTAACTCAGCTTGAATTGGCAGGATGGAGAGGTGGGCAGCTAGTGAACTAGTGACTTAGTAGTGTCAGTAAAGTCTTAATCATGTATGACCTATTGAAGGAAAGATAAAATGGTTTCCCTATGGGGAATAATGCCTGACTTGTATGTTGTAGATTTTTGATGATAAACAGAAACTTGTTCAGGAATGAACAAGATATAATTTGTTCAGACTTTTAAAGAACTTGGCAAGTTCTTCATTAAGGCAATTTTAAAAGTATCAGTTACTATGAGATTGTGGGAATATTTTGTCATGCTTAGAGACTTCAGAATAAACATCTTTCTCGAGAGAATGTTAACAGGGGAAGTTCCTACTGGTTGATGCTTGGGTTAACCTCATTTAAGATTTTTATAAAAAGCCTGAAAGTAGGATATTACAATGCAATCATATGTCACTACTTCCAGGCATTGAAAGGTAAACCAGAAGAGACTTAAAAAAAAGAAAAGAAAAGAAAAACTGCAGAAGGGCCACAAGCCAGACTGTGAAAACTAAGGAAAGTGACAGGTGAGGTTTGGGCTAGGTAAATGTGAAGTAATGCACTTACAGAAAAATCAGCAGCTGACTAGGCAGTGAGCTCTGTCAGCGCCCAGGAAGGAAACCCAGGCATTCCATTGCTGAGAGGGGGTGGGGTCAGTGTGCTGCTGTGGCCAAAAGCGCAACTGCATCACCAGGAAGGGCGCGTGGAGACAACACAGAAAATGGACTTAACGCACAACCATGCTAGTGTCTTAAGTTATCTGTGCACTTCAGACAACCTTACTTATAAAATACAATAGCAAAAGTTACCAGGGGGTAAAAGGCATTTAGATGAGGACACATTTTTAAAAAGTTGGCTCCAATTCTGGAATGATGAAAGCTGAGGGTAGTGTTTGATCAAATACACAGTCAAGAGGAAGGACATGTTCACCCAGTCCTGAAATACGACCTCTAGGGCTCTACCTCATAGCCTTAGGTAAAAGAAAGCATTTCTTATGCAAATCAGAAACTTAAGGAGTTCCTCATCCAAGAAGTGGTGCTGGCAGAAACTATGCATGGGTACGAGAGGGTGGGGAGTCCTTGTATGGGTTAGGCCTCCCAAAAGGAACTACCAACCACCAGGGCTGTTCGGTGAAATACAAATGAGAGGCTATCTGCTTCCCCCCACAAGCTCCCCATTACCTTGATGCTTCTTTCAAAGGCAGGGTGGTGAACAAAATAGATCACTGGTCCTCTCAAGTGTGGAATTTCTAATGTTATTGGAAGAGGAGGAAGGAGATTCAGTAGCTGAAAAATGGAAGTATTCAACCTTAGGCTCACTTGAATTGGTTTAAAATCACTCTGATTGTTCTTCCCTTCCTCTCCTCCCTGAGCCACAATATGTCTCTGGCATCCATCCATGCAAGGAATATACCTAATAGGCATTTCCTGGTATAGATTTACCTTATACCTGTGCTTGGTGGAAGGCAATAGAAATAAATCCAGGCAGTACCAAGGCTAACCGCCTCCCCCTCCTCCTTAAAAGCCAGAGCTCAGTCAGGTGTCTGGGCTCTCTGGAGTTCTTGCCCACGTGAAATGGAGCCCTAAATTTCACTTCCATTATGTGGCAGCTTTGGCCATTTTGTCTTGAAATCGTCCCTCAGGAAATGTAGGGATCATTTGTCCCATGGAATTTTAGAAAAAAATCATCTTGTATAACTTTATACTTCTATTCAATGGGAGAATGAAGTTCTTTTTTTTTTTTCATAATGAAATGTGAATTGGTTGATTATTCTCAGGATAAATGTAAAGGAAACAAATTGAAGGAAAAAATAAGTGTCAGCTCCTTTGAATTGCTTCTGATTTCTGCCTTGGAGCTGGAAGACTCTGTGAACAAGAAATAATACCTCAAGAAAACATCTGGAGTGATGAGAGTACCACTGTCCCTCAAAGACTCCAGCCACTGTCCATCACTGTTTTAGCTGTGAAACATTTACAACTGTGTGTCATCCATCTGTGACTGCCTAGATTTCCTGTTGCCATGGATGTATTAGAGATACTCTTTAGTGCATATGGACTGGTTTAAATCTCTTAGGTGAGCTACAGGGATGGTTGTCAACTTCAAATTGAGTTTTCAACTCACTGGAATAATTAACCTAGTTTCTTTGACTTAAGACAGAAGGCATGGATTCTATGCTTGTGTTGGCTGCTTTTTGCTGTATTTTTAATCTGATTCTGATTTTGCCATGGGCTTCAACCTTATCCTTTCTCATGGTTCTAAAAGGAATGGTTCCTCTATATGGAATATACAAGGATTGGACACCAGCCCTCACATGCGAGGGGGACCCCCCCCCCAAGAAAACACTGAAACTTATAAAAAATTGTGTATCCTTACATGTTTAAACTTCAGTCACCTTCAAAGTACTAGTTGATGCAATATACCTATCAAGACATTTTCTCCGCTGCTCAGCAGTTTCTGTACTCATTGATTTTGATGCCTTTTAGTGCTTCTGTTGTTTTTTTGTTTCACCTCTTCCACATCGGCAAAATGTTTCCCTTTGAGGATTTTTTTTTATCTGGGGGGAAAAAAAGTCACTCAGGGTGACACTGAGTGAGTAGGGAGGGTGTGGTATGGGGGTCATGCCATTTTTGGTCCAAAACTGCTGAACACTCAGTATGGTGTGAGCAGGTGCTCTCGTAAATCACCCATGATGAAATGGGCAAGTGCATAGAAAGTCTTCAAAAAAAAATTCACTCTAGCTGAATGCAGCCTCTCACAACACCAACTGGTCCACTGATACAGATGGGTTCCTAGAACACTCACCTAGTGGGGGAATCCTGTGCTGTAAGAGGCCTGCCCTCCAGAAGATAATTAGTTTTTTTTTGGTCCCCGCTTGTATCCCATAATTTAAATGCTTTCATTTAACCCATTTACATTAGTTTCCCCTTAGTTCAGGAGGGTGGTGGAAAGGTAGTTTGAAATATTGCTGTGCTGATATGGGAACTTTCCATTCCAACCTTTACATTAAGGGCTTGTTTTTCCTCCTTTATAGTTAATACTTGCCTAAAGTAACACCACAAAACTATGGAAATAACTGAACATTGCTGCACACAGGCTAGTAGGATAACATCTGGTTATTTGAGACCTACAAAAGCTGTGCTGCTGCCTTGTGATTTACCATAGTCATTATTGTTTCAAGAGATTCTGGTGTGATTTACTATCCTTTCAACTAGATCTTGGCTTCCCCACCAGGAGTATTCCTGTTCACCTGTGGCTAGGTATGGATGGTAGCTATTGTTGAATGGGGATTATTTTCCCCATCTCTTACAACAGGAACAAGGTGAAACACTCTTAGATAACCTTAAACGGTGAGGTTTTGCTAAGTGCCCAGACTTGGGATGTGAACTTCCTCCCTTGTTATTTGTAAATTTCAGCCTTATTCAGTATCTCAAATTGCAATAGATACAGTTCCTATAACTTAAAAAAGAATCCTGTTTGAGTTGAGAGAATATCTGTTTTTTTGTTTGGTTTTCCCCAGTTCATTAGTTTTTGGTCAGGATGTAGCTTGAGTCTTAATAGTATTTCTTTGGGGAATGCCCCACTGAAGTGTCTTCTCCATTGGCTGAGTAGATGTTAAAGCCATGACTTTAGATACTAAAAGATTTGCCCAACTTTGTGAGTCCAAGCTCTTTCCCCCACTCAGGGTGCTAAACAGAATTGGAATCTTTACTAAGACATGCTCAGGAACGCTTCAGAAGACAACAGCTTCAAAGTCCTACTCCTTGTGACACTGAATGGTAGGAAAGAATTCTTGGGGATTGCCAATTAATACTGTAGCCTTATTACTGCTAATCACTGTCAATAAAAGGTCACTCCATTCCCCTCTATTTGAGGAAAACAATGAGAATGTATCTGATGAACTGGAATACTGGCATTGGGAAATTTTAATATTGCAATATCTAACTAAACTTTGAGTGTACTGGTTCTGTGAACCACCTGAAAAAAGCAAATTAAACTTATTAAACAGTACTAGTTGTGGTATATCTATCTATGAGAAATTTGAAGTATATGGGCTTTTACATTGTTTTTAAGTACTTTCAGTATTCTTTTATGAGATTAAATTTTAATAGGTTTAGTAGAAAGTGGGAAGGGCTCAAATTTTCACAAAAAACCTAAGACCAATTTTATTATGACACCAGAATTCCAACCAATTAGACAGAAAATGAACACACATGTGACAAGTTGGAAAACAATTTAATGGTCACCAAAATCCACAGAAGAATCTTAAATGTTTACAGGGACAAACTCCCATCATTCCTCTATTTCCATGTCATTCACGTTAGGGTATCACAAGTCAAAAGTTTCTGGTTGTTTCATCTACTTAAAACCACATGTAAGAAAAAACCTACGACATGGCAACTTCAGGCTTCTATGTGAAACCATTGAAATTGTCTTGGAAAGGTTTTCTCTGTGCAAGCAGCTCCCCTGTTCAGAAGATGCTTAAGGCCCGTGTGCCTTTTTTCTTCCAGCTAACCAAAAGACAGTGAAATGCTTCAAAATGCCTTAAGGTCTCAATACTTAGTCAAGGCAAGCATGAAACAGGCTGCATGCCTTCTAGGTGTGATGAACATCAGTTTTGAGAAAGACATTGAAACCATGGGCAGGTGCACACAGTCTGCAGTCTGAGTCTGGAACCAGTATGTCCTCCAGTACGAGGCCTTTCTAGGCTTTGGTCTTAGAAGAAGATGATTTTTTTGTGCTTCGAGTTGGGTATCTGCCCCTTCGACTTTAACCTCCGAACAGCCTCCCTCATATGTTTGGGTTGTAGCGGTGGCATTTCTCCCCACTTCTCACACACATCCAGTGCTAAACACAGGGCGATAAGAAAGTTTCGTTACCACACCAGAGCTTATTCACAACCCTTTGAGTCCTGAAAGTCTCATTACCTCTTCTAAAGCTCGCAAAGAAAATAAACCAAGACATTTTCTCTTAAGAAAATGCTATAAAATGTATCATGTTAGCTTTAGTATAAAATCCTGTTATCAGGCTTTATCATAGGCAACAGTTAAAAACAAATCTGCTTAAAAAAAAAAAATTTCACCAGCTAGATATTGGTAGTAGACAGCAACCAAGTTCTTCACTTGATGGGTAGGTGGGTGGTTCCCAGGGGTTGTAACATCAGGGATAACCACACCATGCCACACTGGTCAACCCCAGTGATTGCTTTTCTTGTGTCTTTACGTTTGACAGCAGAAATGAGCAAAGTTCATTGGAGAAAAATAGAGTCTGCTTCTGGCAGCCTGGGCTGAGCAGAGGAGATAGGAGGGACATTTCGTAGATGCTTCCCGACTCCCAGTATGGAAACTTTGAAAGAATAATGGTCATGCTCTGCTGAATACAAAGGTTCCCCACCTTGGTCAACTTCTAGTCTAAGTGGAAACTACTACAGGTGCCTTATTAAGTCCCATAGTCTAGATGTTCTTAAAAATAAAGACCATCACAGGTTCAATCCATTATTTATATCGCCACTCACCTTCTTCCACCACTTCCCCGACGAAAACCTTGGAAATACCAGACATTGCAATAACGACATTCTGAGACACGGAGGTGCCAGTGATGGACTGGATCAGCTTGAAAGAAGGACAAAGGCTCTGTGATTAAGTTGGTCAAGGACTGGCTTTAGAAACAAGTACCCATTAGAGCTCTGCACTGGGAAAGTGTTTACTAAAGACTGGATACTGAAATTACGACTAAAGCAAGGATTCTGTTTGTTGAAACGCTATGGCTGGAATAGAAAACTGCAACTGGTCAGATTATTGAGGGACATGCTTTAATTTTCCCACCTAAATGATCCACCAATTTGCCTAACACCTCATTTCCAAATGCCATTGGACAGAACTCTGGAGTCTAGTTCAGTTCTCTTAGCCGATGAAAAAGAAGTATGACAGTCCATCCTTACCCTTTTAATGGCTGCCTTGGGGAAAGCTGACCGGCGATACATTTCGTAACGGTTCAGCTGCTCCTCAGAAAAAGAAGAAACCAGGATTCTAGACAAAGATTTAGGTGTAAGTTCATTTATAAGAAAGAATGCTTAAAATATATTATTCAATCAATAAAATCAAATGTCAATTAGAAAATGAATTCTCAAGGGGTCAATATTAGGTTTAGTGTCCATAGGGATGAAGGTAAAGTATTTCTCTTAAGGAACGTGAGTGAAAAACAACTTCATTTCTTACTTCATTAAGAACAAAACAACAATGTCGGGTCATTCTATCGTACTATATATATTGGGTTTTCAGCACTGGGCTCTCTCCCCATAATACTGCCTTACTACACATTATGGAAAAAATTTAATGTATAAATTTATATTCATTCCAGTAGTTTTTCTAAAAGTATATTTTATTGATTATGCTATTACAGTTGTCCCATTTTTTCTCCCCTTTATTCCCTTCTCACTTGCATTCCCCCCCTTAGTTCATGTCCATGGGTCATATATATAAGTTCTTTGGCTTCTCCATTTTTTATGCTATTCTTACCACCCCCTGCCTATTTTGTACCTACTATTTATGCTTCTTATTCAAACCAGTAGTTTTTAACATTAATAGATTAAGGAGGAAAATATTTGTAAAATATATGGAAAAGCTTTAATACTCTGTATAGGAATTCTTTCAAATAAATAAAAAGATGGCCACATCGATTTTTGAAAATGAGCAAAGGACATGAATAGAAAATTTACAAAAATACCAATGGTCAGTAAATAGAGGAAAAAATGAATCTTCACTATTAAAGAAATTAAAATGATAAACTAAAACAAGATAACATTTCTCACAAGACTGACGAGTGTTGAAAAGAATGGTGCCAATGAGACCGGGAAGACAGAAACTCACACGTGCGTGTGGATCATGGAGTGGGACAGCCCATTTGGAGAATTTAGAAATATGCCTAAAAATTCTTTGAAAATATTTGTACTATTTGAACTAGCAATTACACTCCTGGTTTATTTTAGGAAGCAAGTGGACAAGTATGTAAAGATATGCTCAAGATATTTTATCATAATGTTGTCAAAAGAAAAAAAATCCAAAACACTAGAACAGCTGCAGGTGTTGGTTAAACTAGGTAGTTCATCCACACAATACAATACAATGTAGCCATGAAAAAATAATGATTTGCAGACATATTTACTAACATGAAAATATTTTGCAATATATATCAAACATTAAAAAAATATGAAAAGGTATATACCCTAGATATACTCTCAGTAGTAGAATTATACATAATTATTTTTTTAAAGATTTACTTATTTTTAGAGAGGGAAGGGAGGGAGAAAGAGAGAGAGAGAGAGAAACATCAATGTGTGGTTGCTGGGGGCAGTGGCCTGCAACCCAGGCATGTGCCCTGGTTGGGAATAGAACCTGCTATACTTTGGTTCTCAGCCTGCACTCAATCCACTGAATTACGCCAGCCAGGGCTTAATTATTTTTTCTATATTCTCTGAATTATTTGCAATGAGGCTTCACTTTTACAATCAGAAGACATAATGAAGCTATTTCCATTTAAAAGAAAATTATGACCTAGATGTATAGTTACATGTAACACATTTACCATATTTAATGTGAAAAAAAGGGTTACAAACAGTACTTAACACTTTTGAAAATTTTAATTTATAATTATATAGGTGTGGACAAAAGTAGGTTTACAGTTGTAATACAAGTGAAAATACAGTAATAAATAATAATACAAAAGTATAAACTCTGGATAAATAAATGGTGATGGAGAAAAAAATAAACTGTGTCTCATGTACTCACAACTGTAAACCTACTTTTGCCTACCTCTGTATGTATAGAAATTTTTTGGAGGATGTACTTCAAAATATTAACAGTGTTTATCTTGGTGATATGGTGATATTTTCTTTTACTTATTTATATCTTCTATGATATACCAATGTATAATTGCTTTATTTTCTTCAAGTTCATAAAAAAATTAAAGGTCAGGAAAAATTTACTAACTTTGTGTGGTCAAGTTAGCATCTTTTTTTTATATATTTTTAAAGATTTTATTTATTTATTTTTAGAGAGGGAAGGGAGGGAGAAAGAGAGAGAGAGAGAAACATCAATGTGCGGTTGCTGGGGGTCATGGCCTGCAACCCGAACCTGCGATACTTTGGTTCGCAGCATGCGCTCAATCCACTGAGCTACGCCAGCCAGGGTTCAAGTTAGCATCTTGCAATGGGGAAAGATCAGAAAGTAACTTACTGCATCTTCTGAATCTCATCTTCGTCCACTTTCTGCTTCTTCTCTTTCTTTTCTTTGGTGTCTATTTTCAGTTTTTTGGCTGCGGGGTTGAGTAATGATGAATCTTCTCTTTCAACTGCTGTTAAATCTGAGAAGTCCTGACTCTTGAGCTGAGAAGGTAAAAGAAATGCTTTTATATATCTGGCCCACTTTCCAGACCTGGGCAAGGTAAGAAAACATCATTCTCATTAACAGCACAACAAATCCATTTATTCAGTAGCTTTCTGCTTCTAGGCACTGGCTGTGCCATCAAGTGGAGGAAATACTATCTGTCCTAAAGAAGTTTATAGCCCAGCTGTGGAAAGAAAACTAGCTAAAAATCCAGTTCTCCAGTTTGGCTATGGTCATAGCTCCCATGTCTGTTTACAAGGGCAACAAAATGCCAAGGGTCATGAAAACCTCTCTTCCCCTGAGCCCCTCCCCGAACCTCATTCTTTAGAGGAGAGGTCAGAAAAGTCCTTTCCATCTAGCAGTTCTTCTGCCTCTAAATCTGTAGATTTCTTTATTCGTGATGATTCCATGTGGAAAGAATATTTAAAAGGAGGCATCTTCTCATCAAAAGTGTTTCTTTGAATTTGGAACATTTAAGTGAGCTTCTCCCACATGTAGTACTCTTTTCTTTCTATCTTTTAATCCTACTGTATCATACACATATTCACCATACTGAAACCTTCTTGATGATAGGCTTTCTCTTACCATTTATCTCTCCCACACTAAAGCTTTTGACATCACACTAGATGTTTAATGTCTGGTTAATAACAAAATAAAAAATCAAAATCCAAGCTTCATCTCCTCCAACTTAACTTACAATCTAAGGATATATCAAACCTCATTAATGGGATTTAACCTTTGTTTCCCTAAAAGAAGAACTCATGTTTAAATTCAGAGAGATGTGTGGCCCTGACTGATGTGGCTCAGTGGGTTGGGTGACGTCCTGCAAACAGAAGGGTCTCTGGCCGGATTCCACGTCAGGGCATGTGCCTGGGTTCCAAGTCAGGTCCCTGGTTCGGGTTGTGTGAGAGGCAACTGATTGATGTTTCTCTCCCTCTCTTTCTCTCTCCTTTCCCCTCTCTCTAAATATAAATTAAATTAAAAAAATAAAGTCAGAGGAATATGAGAGAAGTAGGTGAAAGTGAGGGTAGTTTATGTTCAGCAACCTCTTCAATTTCTTCGCCAGTTACTGATTTATACAAGTTTTCTAATCTCCTTGTGATTCAATTTTGGTGATTTATATTTCCCTTTTAAAAACTAAGCTATTTCTCTTAGATATTTAAATTTAATTGGCTTATATTTAAATATTAAATTTTCTTATAACTTCAAAGATCTCCATATCAGCACCTTTAGCTCTTTCTTATTTCATAATGTTGTACATTTACACTTTAAATAACCAGGTCTCTATTATTTCTTATGTTTTTAGGCATTTGTCCATTAATATCTACTTTTATTTTTTATTAACTCCTTGTTCCTACATTCTTCTGGTCTATTTTGTTCTTTTTCTGGTTTCTTGAGCTGGGGGCTTATTTTCAAAATCTCCTGCTTATTAATAAAAATATGTATGGCTATGAATTTCTCTTCAAACAAGGTTTTGATCAAACCTCACAGGATGAGATGTTGTGTCTCTTTGTTAATTTCTTTAATCTAAGGGCTATTTAGAAAACTGTTTAAAATGTCCATGTGGTAGTTGTCCTTTTGGGGGGGCGGAGTGGGAGCCTTTTGTTGTTAACTTCAAGTTTATTGCACTGTACTAACAGGATGTGACTTGTTATGATAACTCCTTCTAAGGATTTTTGTTTTTCTGTGTGGTCAGGTATATGGTCACTTTTTAAAAGTGTTTCAGAAGCATAAAAAAAAAGAATTATATCTTCCATTGAATGCATTTCTGTGTGTATTGAGCTCTCTATTGGACTATGCTACTTATTCTTCAAATCCTTTCTGTCCTTGAGATGTTTCAAAGATTCCTTCTTAAAATAGTTTCATCACATTGTTTTTTTCCCTAAAAGTTCTCACTTTATACATTTGATGCAACTTTACGCTCTGGAAGGCTGTTTCCATCTAATCCAATATCCTTCCGTGATTTCTTTAAGTCCCTTACATAGAAGCTCTAATACCCCGAGATTCTATCCCCAGGAGTGGAACCTGGAGAACACTGATTCTGCTCCCCTGACTGATGCTCGGCCAGGCAACACTACTGAGCTTTTGGGTGGCACGATTGATGGTTGTGGTGTGTTTATGCTATAGAGAGACCCTTGACATTGGCAGCAATTAATGTCCCAAAAGACTAAGAACGTGATTACACCAGTAACTCCCTCGGCTTCCCTTTAACGACTCTGCAGCCTATAACACAGCTATGCCGAAGCAACATCTAAGAGAAAACATGTTGCGCTGAAAAGGATTCTAGGAATCCTGGATTAGCTCTCGCAGTGTCTCAGGGTGACATCGGATCCCAATTTCCTCATCAGGAAAACCAAGAGGCTATTTAAAACTCCCTTAGAAGTAGCTTTAATGTCACGGGCAGGAATTAAAAATACTAACTCAGTGCTTTGGTCTCTGGGACCGAACCAGCACTATAGTTTTGTCTCCTCCCTACATCCCAATCGCCTCCGGGATTGCAGGTCTAGCGGGAGTCCTGGTGAATTCAAATGATCTTAGCCTGGGAGCGGTCAACCAGGAAGCCGGTGGAGCAGCCAGTAACACAATCTCGGGGTACTCCCCAGATTTTATCAACACATCCCTCCCTACCTCGCCTTCCTCAGCCGCAGCTTCTTTCAAGTCTCCATCTGCGTCGCCGTCAGTTTCCTCCGGGATTCCGTCCGTGTCCGTAGCCCCAGAGCTCCCGGGAGCAGCAGCCGTCTCGTCGGATGCCCCTGTCTCTCCACCTTTTTCCGGGGGCGACTCGCAGGCATTATCCATCGCCACGAGAAGGGAGGGGAGATCGCGGTGCTGTCACACGCAGGAGCTCCGCACCGCTGGCCGCACGGCAACCGAGGCGCTTCCTGTCGCGCTGCGATGACATCACACCTACTGCTCCTCCGAGGGTCATTTTGAGGCGCGCGTGGAGGACTTCGGACTCCCTCGTAGCTGTTGTTTTGTGGTGGTGGGGAGAGAGAAAATGGAGGAGGGTACGGATTTCAGTTTGCGGAATTCCCATCCTGGGAAGCCACGCTTTGTAAAGGAGTGCTGCGTTGTTTACCGAGGAACTTCTATTTCCTTCCCGCCTTTCTAAAAACGAAATGTTAATTAACTCCTTCCTTAACCTGCTTTTCTCAGACTAGTTTGGGGACAGGAGAAAACGCAATTCCGTGGTATGCGCTAGTCGCGAGGTGCGCCTCCCTTGTAAACTTTCACGCAGGGACTCCGCCGCGTAAGGTTTAATTGTCCTGTGATTACAGAATTGCTAGCGTCTCTCTTCTGTTCCTAGCACTTAAAAGTTATATAGCTTGAGCAGAATTTATCCAATCCATTTATTCACTCCACAACTACTGAGCACCTACTTCAAACCAGGAACAGTGCTAGTACCAGAAATACAATATAGTTTATACCCAATTAAATGATTTCTCCAACTCATTAGTACTCAAGGTTCGGGCGGGTTTCACAAACCTGACTTTTTATATCAGTTTGGTTAATCTCATCACAAGTAAGGAAACCGCTCTGACTGGTGTGACTGAGTTCGTTGGGTGAGTTCTGCAAAGTGAAAGGTCCCCGATTAGATTCCCGGTCTGGGCACATGCCTGGGTTGTGGGTTCTGTCCCCAGTAGGGGCGTCTGTGAGAGACAATGGATGGATGTTTCCTCTCACACGATGTTTCTCTCCCTACCTTCATCCCTTCCTCTTGCTCTAAAAACAAGTAAGATCTATTTTTTAAAAAAGTAAGAGGATACATCCTGCCGGGAGGGAGATATTTCCCTTGACTTTTTCACTTTAGGATCAATTTCAGGGATTGGCAGCATGAGGAAGGGGATATTTCTATTTCAAAATTGTCCTCCCTTCCGTCATAAAGGTACGGGGGGAGTATTCTATTCATCTTTGTATCACTGGATCCCCACGCGTATTACGTATTTAATTTATGCGTGCTCTGAAAGAATGAACAAGGAAATGTAGGTGCGCATTACCGTATTTCTCTCTTTGTTTTCTACATTGCCTGGATGAATTACCGTATTTACTGTCCTGTGGCCTCCCAAACCTTTGAGGCGGAGCACACTTCGGGAGGCGGATACAGGTGGATCCCGTTTGTTCCCTTTCACCCGTACAACGGGCGCCCACACGGCGCTTCCCTCTTGCCCCTGGAGGCCTATCCGCACAGCGAAGTCCATTAGCTGCAGACCTTGTTCACCTGCGCCGCCAGCTCAGCCCCGCCCAGCTAGGTAGACCAGGAGGCGGGACGCGGGGGCGCGGTGACGCGTGACGCCGGATCCCGGAAGTGACGCGTTGGTTGGGGGGGAAGGCGGGGGGGAGGGGGGTGGTGTCCCCGGCCGGTTTTGGGGGGTGCGTTGCCCGGAGACGGAAAGTTTTGGACCCGAAGCAGGCATTGCTGCGGCCCTGGGGAGGGTGTCCAGGGGGCGGTGGCCCTGGGGATGGGGAAGGAGCAGGAGCTGCTGGAGGCGGCCCGCACCGGGCACCTCCCGGCCGTGGAGAAGCTGCTGTCCGGGAAGCGGCTGTCCTCTGGCTTCGGGGGTGGCGGTGGCGGCTCCGGAGGCGGTAGCGGCGGCGGCGGAGGCTCTTCGAGCCATCCCCTCTCCAGTCTGCTCAGGTGGGTAATGCGCCGGGGCCGGACAGCCGCCTGGGGACCAGTCTCTTGGGTCCCTAGAGAGATCGAGGCTCCTGAGACCCGGGCGGGGTGGGTTTTCTGGGTGCCCCGAGGCGAGGGCAGACGGCCCACGGGATAAGGAACGCCGGTGCAGGTCGGAGTGGTGCCCGGCTCTCCTCGTCTAATCTCCCGACGTGGCTACGAAGAATGGTGGGAGTGCCCAGGTGGCAGCCTCTGTCGCATGGTATGGCCCGGCTTCATCCTGCTTGCTATAGGGTGCCGGCTGCCGTATCTAACAAGCCACTTTAGAGCAAATATATGTGTATATTTAAATCTCCCTCACCTCCTGCAGAAACTGCCACGCCTTGCAGAATCTCTGGCTCCGCTGGAGGAAACTCTCTTGATTACCTTCTTTTGGGAACTTGGACTCTTTCTCTGGGCTCTGCAGGACCTGGCTTTTGTTGTTTAAATTAACATTGACTCTGGACTTACACCTTCAAAGTATTCGTGGAGCTCCTCCTGTACTTGAAGTGAACCTCATTGGATTAGTCTGTTAGGTGGCATATGCAGGGTTCATTCGGGGTTAATTCATGAAGAAATAAAGCTTTAGAAAGACTTGTTTAGGAAACTGAGGGGTACTCCAAACTTCTCCAAGGTCTGTTGTTAAAATAACACTTGAACCTGAAATGTAAGGCTTGAAAGAAAAAGATTACGTTTGTGTGGCTTGGAGGGGGAATTGACCGTGTGAGTAAAATGTGTTGGTTCAGCAGCACTTTCATAGCCTGTTTTCTTTTCCTTCCTTGTTCTTTTGAGGTTTTAAAGAAGTGGAAGTTCATTCAGAAAGGGCTTGGTTTGCTTTTGTTCCCCATTAGTTTATGGAACTTCAGTTTGGGTGAGCTTGGACCAAGGAAGCCCAAGGCTCTAATAAATTGTTAGATATTAAACCCTGAGTAGGAACCCAGCCCAGCTCTATACTGGAGGATTGTATAAAAAGCAGTATAGGAGGAGAACTCTCCTTGAGTTTTTCTGGGAATGCAAACACCAGTCCTGTTTGCCGCAGTTTCTCCAGTCCCTTGAAGAATGGTGGCACACAACTGGTGCTCAGGATTTGTTGAATAAATAAAAGTATCAGAAGATGATAAATTTTTAAATAAACTGATGGTGGTACTCATTGTAATTGTTAGTAGTTCAGAGATGGGCAACTTCACTTCGGGATAAGATGGAGATCAGGGCTTCCAGGAGGAGGGGGACTTTCACTGGCTTTGAAGGCAGCGAGGATTTGGGTAGGTGAAGTTGGGTGAAGAGTGTCCAGGTGGGCACACCCTGATGAGAGGCGCAGAAGTGGGAAATGAGGCTTATTTGGTGTTAGTGGGACACAAGAAGAACTCCTGCCTGGAGCCTCGACTGGTTGGGCACGGTAAAGGGAAATAATAATGGGAGGGTACACTTCCATTTTTCAAAGTGACTTTGTCTTTCTCGTGTTTATATTCCAGTCCCTAGCTCAGTGCCTGACAACTCACAGATGTTGAATAAATGTACGTTGAATAAATGTACTTTGAATGCATGAATTGGGTGTTGAGTCGTACCTGGATTACTTTGATATTGTTGCACTTGTGATGTCTGAGAGATGACAGAAAGACTGTACCAGTTAGGAGGTGCCTATCTCTAATGAGTTGAATGATGTAGCATTTGGAGGTTTGCCAGAGATACTTTAACCCCCAGCATATCCTGCTGAAGTGAGAAACTTGCACATATCTCCTGTCTTCAAGTACAGGTCAAGTTACTTTTACTGCCTTCACTCAGAGACTGTTGAAGTTTTGCTGAGGATTTAGCAGCTGTGTAGTTAAGCAACACTAGGAAAACTTTGTTGGGTGTAAAGTTTTTGCTTTGGACCTCATGCTGCTGTAATATATCACTTGTTGTAAAGTGTGGATGGTGGAGCCTCTGTTCCTTTCGGTAGGAGAGCTAACTCCTGACTTGCTCCTGTGTCTGTTGTAGAGATGGTAGAGAGCCTAAGAGCCAGCCTCTCATCCCTGTGACTCCTAGGGGCAGGGAGGATCTGCAGGCACTTGTTATACTAGGTGTGTCATTAATTAGAGGTGACTCTGGTTCAACCAAGTGAGAGACTTCTGAGCAAATGAGACTCTGTGTTTAAATAATCCTTAGGTCAGCATGTCCTGCCTTTTGAGATTTGAAAATAGTGGAGGGTGGGTCCATCCTGCTCACACTCCCCACCTCAGGGACTCTGGGTTATTTAACAAGAGCTGCGGAATCATAGTTTCAGAGTTGGCCTTCGTATTAGCTGCCATATCTCCCCTGACCCCACCAACTGGTACTGCCAACTGCAGCCTACATTTATCTAGCTGTTTAAGCGACCCACAAAAACTGGCAGATATAGGAGCTTATAGCTACAGTGGATATAAATGTTCCAAACTACATGTATGTTTGTCCTTTCATTTATTTATTCATCTGTTCATCCAGTCATCTATGTATGACACTCTCCACATTCTACAAAGGTTTTGTGCTTACTCTTAAACTGCAGAGTGCCCCCTCTCTCACCTTATCCCTTTTCTCTTACACTGCTTGGGCTTAGGTCTTAACTTCTTAAAGTGCTCCCTGGTGACCCTAATATGCACTGATCTCTCAGGCTTCTACTCCTATGGAGCCCATCATCTGTCGTGCACAGTAGCTCATCTGCTGACACTTTGCCCAGCTCTCCCAGTTTATTACTTCGGCCTGCCAATGTAATGCTCACATATAGGAACTCTCACCAATTGAGAACATACCTGGGAGTCAGAAAGTCAGCAAAGACTTCCAGATTTAAAAAAAAAAGTTGTAACAAACTTCATGTCCTTCTGACCTTCCCTTACATTCTGTATATTCACAGGCAGTGTAGTGTTATGCGTCAGGCCACCACTGACCTTATGCAAATTACTCACCCATTCTGGGCCTCAATATCTGCATATAAAATGGGGATAATAGTGTCTGCCTTATACATACTGTATTAGGTCATTTGTGTGAGAAGCTTATCACAGTTTCTGGCACATCGTAGGCGCTCGCTGCTGGCTATCTTCACTTCAGTTCAGCACATCCAGTTTTGCTGTGCTGCACCTGTTCTGTGCATAGTACCGTGCCAGGCATTCTAAATAGCATTCTCTCACACTCTGGTATCTGTTTTCCAAACTATAACAGATTAGAAACAGTAAATAAGGGAGAGGACCTGCTCAGACAGGCACATTAATGCCATTCACTTACCAAATGTTTACCCATCATCTGCTTTGTACCAGATGGATTGCTAGACACACTGCAAAGTTTATCTCCAACCTGCTATATAGTAGGTATTCAACCGAAATTAGTCAGGCTGCTGCCCTCCCTCATGCTGCCCTCCCTCAGGAGCACACCCACTCCTTTCCCTTTTCCCTCTTCTTCCCCCAGGCGCCTGACCTTTGCCCTTCCCTTTCCTAAGCTCCTAGGGCCCTTCTGTTGCCTCTGGAACTTGTTTTCTGAGCCTGTGCAGCTCAACAGCTCACTTCTACTACCTTTGTAACTTTTAAAATAAACTTTCTCTTACAATTTGATAAAAAAATTAATCCCTCTCCCAATACATGGTCAGTTTTGCAGAGTTTTATAGTAGTATGATATGTCTATGTGATTGACAAGATAAAAAATAGGAAAAGTAATTAAAATATAGGATTCCACCCTCCCACACTCCCCCGCAGTAACTTGAGACTATTGACATACATGTATATAGTCCTATATACCTGGTAAGGCCTCAACTATCATCGAATTATAGCTTAGCGCTGTAATTTTTATTATGACTCTTAGCGATCAAATAAAGATTAAATTATTTCACTATAACTTGTTAATGAAAGTATGCAAAACATTTTAGTTTTCTATGCAAAGTGATTCAAATATAATTTTTGTTACTTAAAAGGACAAGCAGTAGATTACCTAGAAAGCAAAGCTATTTAAAATGTCTAGTCCTACAGTGGTTCTGGACAGCATGGATTTTAACTTCATATAATTTCTCATTTCTAATTGTTGAATGGATGCACGCTTTCAGTCTGTAGCTTGGACAGGTACTGTATTAAACTTTTTTTCACAAATGGGAATTTCTGTTTGTCAACATTAAGTCTGAATTTTAAATAGATTCTTGGACTGGGGGTTCAAATCCATCAGCTCGTTCAACTTTAGCGCCTGCCTCATCCTCAGCAGCTTTTCCAGAACCACTGCCTTCACCGTGAAGCTCCATGGTTTCCCCACTTCAAACTTGGACTTCTTCAGCATTTTGACTTTTCTAACAGAGACATGGAGCTGATAAGTAGACTGGCAAGCCTCTTCCGTGTCTTTTCTCGTACTGTTTGCAATCAGTTTATTGAACACTTCTTTGAAGGCATTTGTCTACACCTCTGGGTCATGATTTCCATCTTCTTTGGATTTGGTGGATCTGTTGGTGCTGAGCATAAGAGGTCTTCTAAATCTGATCGTTGCATTTTGTTTGTTTGTTTGTTTTTAAGTAAAACCAAGACAGAATAGAAAAAGCAAGTAGCCTTTGGTAGTCTTGACATCAACTTGAGCTTCATTCATTGTCTGCTGTTTTTGTCCGTGGGGCACATTTTTGTTATGGGTAAGGTCCTTGCCAGTTTTTGCCCTGAACATCCTCAGTGATTAGCTTGCATTTTGTAAATGCAACTCCATTATTCTGCAGGTCAGCTAGGATTATTTCAAAAACATGACCCTTGAGACGATCAGATGAGACTTTGGTTTCTCAGATTCTCGTGATTAGTGTTTTCCAACATTTTGTGTGTTGAGCATAGCTGGTGCTTTCACATCATACCAGTCTTGCTTAGAAAATGGATCGGACACTCTCTTCTTGGCTCCCTTTTGCTGCTTCTCCGAAGGCACTCATTCTTGCTGCCCACTGTGATGCTGCTCACAGAGCCAGAAGGGCAGAAGTGCAACTCACCAACTTCTAACTCATGGTAGTTTTCAGCCCTGGGCAC